GTAGTGTTCTTAGCTGCGAGGATCTCTTAATTTCATCTCTCCACCGCAGTGCCAATATACGAATTTTCATATATCTAAAATCATCATGAACTATTGTGCTAATCTATTCTCAAAGATACTTTTTGCATATTATGTTGTAGTCGTATAAAAGGCCGATGGACCAAACATAAGTTTATTCGCAGATTTAATGTAACATTTTCGCGTGACCTCCACCCTGTTTAATCGAGACAGCGTTTGTACCTGAATAATCCTCGGTTACAATATAACATAAGTTGAGCTTATAATGAATCAAGAACTATACGCTTGGGTGGAAAGAGCACTGCCTATTAAAGCAACAGGGGGCTCAATCTTCTCAATGATGATTCTACTGACTGAATGCCAGCCGGTGTGGACATTGAAAATACCAAAACTATGGCACTGACCGACGTACAAACCAACACGCACCCAGCCTCTGGCGATTCCTGTGCTGTAGACTTTTAATTCAACTCATTTCCCCCTGTAGTACGTTATGTAATAAACAGTCTCTGCACTTGTATGCATCGATCATTTCTGGTTTAATTAGTAGACAGACAACTGTAAACACTTATTTACGGAGTGGAAGGCCTCATAGAGGGATTTTTAATAATGTTTTTCAGTGGATAAAAGAACGCGTGGGGCGGCTCGACCTGTTAGACAAAATTTGTTTGTGTATACCACGCAGGTATGGTGCTTTTAGCGCGCGCTGATTGGCTATTTCAGAGATGCCTAATCAAGAGTTCGTGTTCCGATAATTTTTCTTTACACTTTTCTTGTGAGGTGTATTCGAAAATAATAACTCACTCTAGTGTCTTTGAAAGTGGTTGATGTTTACCAAGCCGTAAGGTAAATATCCACCTCTACCCACTTCTACTTCGGTAGGTAATATTTGACTATACGCTTTTATTTGCCGAACCTTTTCAGCCAAGGTTTTGAACGTGGGAATTATGAGGTACTAAGAATATAAGAGATTCGATCGGAGAGTAAACCTAAAGCAAGGAACTTAAGTCTTTTAAGAGTACCAGGGACAACTTGAAACTATGGCAAATCTAATATGGCAGCATTTGCCTCCTAATTTTTTTTTTTGGAATTTAGCATGCAGTTGTAATTATACACAGTGAGGCAGTCTCTCTCACTCCATCCAATAATGTATTTCATACTGAAAACCAAGAAATTATTCAGAGGACTTTCACTGAGAATGCTTTACTTTCAAACATCTGCAATTTGCTCAATTGAGTAAACTTGGGTGGATATGTGATAGCAAAGTCACATAGAATACTTTCAGCTCGTTTAATATTCAATATTCTGTCTGATAAATCATTTGGCCACGGCTTTTTTGGGAGAAATGTTATTCTATGAATGAAAGGGACCCATTTCCTCCCGAATCGATTATGTCACGTTTATTCAATCAAGTTACGCCTACATGAGGACGCCACATACTTATAACACCGCGGATTGTCATATAAAGTGGGAAAATGAGCAATAATGTCTGTCTTCCCAAAGTGGAAATGTTTCCCAATGTACAGCTATGTTTCATCAAAATGATAAAAAGAACACATGAACCAAAAGTAAGTTTCTTCGCAGGTTTATTTCCATGTTTTGTGATGAGTTCCATCCAATACAGTTAAGACACCCTTAACACAGTGAGCCTAACTACCCGGCAGTTGCAATTCAACATTCGACTGCCCCTATGATAAATCAAGGACTAGCGGGTGGAAAGAGCACTGCTGCCTATTTAAGCAACAGGAGGCTCAATCTCTTCAATAATGATCCTGCTTACAGAATTCCAGCCGGTGTAAGCGTTGAAAATACCAAAACCATGGCACTGACCGACGTGCAGGCCAACACGCACGAGGCCTTTGCCGATTCCTGTGCAGTAGCCCTCTACGTTGGCGTGGCGATGGATATTCAGGTCGACATTCTGGTAGACAACAGCATCAATAGCAGCGGGAGCCTTGCATTCGATGTCGTTGAAGGTTAAAAACCATCTCATGCAACAGTGTTTGCAACCGGCGATGCGAAGGTTGCCTATGTAAACAACACGGAGGTATGTGTTTGGGGCAGCCTTGGTGAACGGACATTCCTTAAAAGGAAAGGTTCAAAACAATTTATTAGATGCATTGATGCAGTAAATATCTCTTTTTTCGTCTTCCTGTTCAATCTTGACAATGATGACTGCTATATA